TATCAAAAATATACCTACATCTATAATAATAATTTATTAATCAGTAACATTGAGGATAAAACTGTTTGCGGCTCGTTTATTTTTGGTATCATAATAATTAATTGATGTGAATAATACGTGAAAATGGTAAATTAGTAATTGCAAAATTTCGGCAATGTGAATATGACAACGACGCACAAGTGCACAATCCTATGCTCAATCGTGCTTTACCGGTGAAAAGAGACATTGCGGGTACCATATAATGGTCTGATCCCTCACAAAAAATTAATCTATTTAATTAATAACATCTGTTAGTCATTATAGGTCATTTATTTTAATGTCCTTCCCTTTTTCTTATTTTATTCTGTATAGTACCTAATATTATCTGTTTTTAAACTACCATGTATCTAATATTTTCATTACATAGTTTTATTTTTTAAGTATGTTATCACTAATCAGGTTTACTAATTATTGTGCTGTACTATAATTTTGCTGTTTATTTTAGACACGTGTATAGTATGTAGGTACTATATATGTAGCTAATATTAAGTTTAATAAAAAATTGAACTGATATTGATCTAGTTAAGATACTTCTTTTTTAGACTCGAGCAAAGTGATGAATACATTTTTACAAAATTATAGTAGTATTTTTTTATTATTATTATTAGTTGCTTTCCATCGCTCTTTTGAGCAGTAAAATTTCTTCAATCTTCAAAAAAAAAAATTWAGGGATAACGATCAAATATTATCATTTTGTATACTCAATGAGATTTTCAAAATAATACTTGGTCAAATACTATTCATAGTCATACAAAATGTTAATTATAATCCAGATAATTACACAACAACCAATTATGGTACTGAAATGGGACCACTTGTAAGTAATTTGAGTATTTAATTATAAGATTTCAAATTTTAATCTTTCTTAAAATGACATTAAAATTGCCTATATAAAACCCCTTAAAAATAGATCTTTGTCCTCACTGTGATTATTGGTTTATTAGATTCTAAAAACATACAGCAAGATTATATTGAAGGTAGGCAAGTTAATGAAAACATTTAACTCAACAACTCAAGTTAAGTGAGCAGAACTCAATATCAATAAGTTAGAAGTTGACTAATCATAAATTTAACTTGATAACCAGGCCCGAATAGACCGAATTACTGAACGTAATTTACTGGACAGGACTAAATTTTGATGGATTTTGTGTTCATCTTACTTTATCCAACTAAGTTTAACGAATTTTTGACCAGTTAAATTTGTAATATATGTTGGGCTGGTAATTAATATATCCGGCTCTGTCGATACCCAAGTTAATTTGGGAAAAAAATGTTAACTTAACCCATTTAAAAAAAAATTCAATCTACTTATTGTAATTAGTATTTGTATCATATCATAAAAAGTGACTGAGGTCTTTCTAATTTCCTAAATCATAATAAAAATGTTAATAAACTTTAATTGTATAGTAAAGCGTGTACATCTATTATTCTTCACATTATTATTAAATATTTAAACTATACACAATATCTCAATTAATAATTTAACAAATATAAATTTAAGGTCTTATAATATTATACCACCTAATCAACTAAAATATATTTATACATAAAATAATTTTATCAAGAAAAATAACAGAAATATTTTTATTATTATAGTATTGAATTATGATTATTTTTACTTGAGTATTAAAATGTATACATATAAYAATTTTAACTTGATGGATTATTTTTTAATTAACCAAGAAAATCTAACAGTTATTCCAACTGTTGATTAATCTAGTTGGGTTAAACAAATTTATAAATATTAAATTTTTAACTATTTAATACCCAGCTTTGATGATTGTAACATTTATAACACAATTCTATTACTATTATTATATATGTAATTAAATACTGACAGAAATTAAAGAGAAAGGATGTGCTTACACTGATTACTTATCTAATTGATAAATAAATGTATCATAATCTTATTAATTTATTATTATTTGAGGTTGTCCCCACAACCTTCTAGTCCTTCTACACTAATCCATCCTCAGAACATTCAAATCTTCATACTACACTTGCATTTGCCTTCAAAACACTCTTATACGTTTATCCTATAATACTTATGTAAATATTTATAATCATCACATTAATCTGTCAAAACTACTACATATTTTGTCTAAACATCCATAGTCTATGGCTAGAAATATCTTATTTATGTTATTTTAAAACAAAAAATATTACTTATAAAAGTAAATAATTATTGCATTATAATAATTAGGGCACAGAAGTCGATGACCTTAAAAACAATAAAAAATGCCCTAAAAAAATATGTAAATATGACATAAAAATGATAAAAAATGTCCTAAAAAATTACAAATATTAGTTTTATATTAATAAAATACATTTTTTTWAAAATATTTTACTCTATTTTACTATAAAATTCAAAATATGACATAAAAATGACAAAAATGTCCTTAAAATAAGAAGATAAAAATATAAAAAATATTTGTTATAAATTTATCAAAGCTTACAAATTATTTAAAAACTAAAATCATTGCATTGTACAATTAGAGCGTATTTTATGTTATCGAAAGTAAATGAACAACGATTATCTGTTAATAAATATTTATGATTGGAAAAAAACTTCTCTCTACGTCCACCGTTCACTTAAGTGATTGGGGAAAATCTGAAATGTACCAAATCATCAGCACTGAAATGATCCGGAAAACACTCACTTGAAGCTTCTTCGCCATTTAAAATTTTTGAAATTGTTGACAACGACAAATGTAATCGTCGAGATGAAAATGAATAGGTACTAATCTTAGCCTGTGGTAATTTCCAAGTTTTAAGTTATCGGCATAATGGTCGACAAGAAACAATAAGAAATTAACTAGTGTGAAATCAACTAAAAATGACTAAAAATTTAGGAAAATGACCTAAAAATTTAAAAAAATTACTTAAAAAGTAATAAACACTAAAAAATGCAAAATAAAAATTAGTTATTCAGATTCACATGCTTATGAAACAGATTTGTAGTCAGGAGAATCGAGGAGAGCATCGTATAAAAAGTTCCAAAAAAAAAATGCAAAATGCATCAACTTCCGAGCCCTAATTATAATGCTTAATCATTATGATTAATAACCATTATTTTAATGTTCTATTCAGTTTTTCTGTTATAAGTTAAAATATGTGTTTTTAAAATATATATAAGATATTTTAAAATAAATACCATTAAAAAGGGTTGTATTATTGTTAGTTACACTCAAGTTAAAATATAGATATGTAGGTAATTATTATTATTTTCTATTATAATTCAGTTAGTGTGGATTGTAATTTATAATAAGTGATTCTTACCAATCATATGATGCAATTGTTTAATTAATTAGATAGGTAAATTCTAATAAGACATTAATTGTATTGATTTAAGCCTTTTTTTATATTTAAATTGTTTGCAAAGAATTAGTAAATTTTTTTAAGGTATTAAATGTAAAAATATTTCATCAAGTACTAAGATTATTTGTTAATTTTAAATTTTAAGATACATTATGATAGAACCTTATCAACATTCAACTTGATAAGTCAAATACAAAAAATTGTTCCCTTGAGAAAATCTCGATTACTTGAAAGAAAAACTATAGATAACTTGAACATTCTGTGCTCCGAATATAGACAAACATTATAATATATGAACATTCTCCTAATCGGCTTGTGTGTTCCGATAATTTTATCTAATCACGTTTATTATTATATTTTTTCATGCTGATATTTTTATATTTAAAAACTTTAATACATACTTAAATACATTTTATAAGCTCTTTAAGTTGAATTTAAGTTGAACAAACTAGACAAATATTTATAGCTTATAGGAAAAAAAAATTTAGTGTTCAACTGCATTTACTATAATCAAGGACATTCAGAAGCTCATAATTTAAACTGTCAATTAAATAATGAATGTGTGCCATTTCAACATTATTGGTGTAATTTTAAAAACAGTTAAATTTAAAAACTCAGGAATTCCTTATAAAATATATATAATAATAACAGTTCATATTTATATTAAATGTATGTATATATGTATATTGTTTAAAAGTATGGTAAGTGTAAGATGAATGATGAGTTCATTATAATATATTTTGCTATCATAAAAATACAAAAATAATATGAATAAAATCTAGCGTTGAGCGAATATTGATTTTTAATTTTGAGTTGAGTTTCAATTATTTCAAGTCGAGTCGAGTTSAAAATTTGAGTACACGATAAATTTCAAGTATGAAAAAATTCAAGTACTCGACAAATTTCAAATATTCGACTCGAACTCGACACGGACATATTTCCAAAGTCAAGTACTCGTCTAACACTAATAAAATCATAAATACAACACAATCGTCAATCACTATACAGCAAGTATAACACATTATTACAACAGATATATTTTTAAATTTAAACCTGTATTTAGTGAAATACTTTTAAACAATCCATTTAAGGTTTGTTCATATGGGGAATTACAAAAACCTTAACATTAAAAAATGGCACCAACCAAATAAAATGAACAATAATATATTATAGCACATTCAAAACGTTATCTTAATGATTGAATATAAATAAGTAATAACCTATTATTATTCAAATTTCACTACACCAGTTCTTAAATCTTAAAAATGGTTTTGAAAAGCTGTATCTTTCACATCGAAGGGTTCCACTCAACACAGCTAACTTAGACAACTGTAGATCGTTGAATTCACAGTATTTATAGAGGTACAGTTAATTCCAAGATTTTTCTAGGCACCCAAAATCCTATGAGGTGGAATCTTTCATATATCGGTCCATAATTGATTTGATAATCTTTGACTTTTGTTTGCTGAACTCTTGTATACTTCAGATATAAGTCTATGTTTTTTTTTTTAAATACTGAAAATGGCAGTGGCAACAACACTGAAACACAAGATGTTTAAAATTGTTATCAAATTATATCTAGTCGTCAATCTTAGTAATTGCTATATTATGACTTTTAGTAGAAAGTGTTTTCCACTTGTCCAACAGTACTCTTTAAATAGTTCTTACAAACGCTACAACCGCATATTTTGTCACTATCTTACAAATATTCAACATACTACATTTTATGTTAAATCTAAAATAATAGTGAATTGACCCATGATAAAATGTAATGGTAAGAATATTATCTAGAGCGCCGCTGAGGGTTTTATTAATATTATTATTTTTAAGTAAGTTATGATGATTTTAAAATGTACAATTTAAAAGTTGTCATAACTTACTTCTTAATAAAAGTATCAATAAAAATAAATATAATTATTCGCCATTGTCTAAAATGTTATCCAATTATCTATTTCTAGGTATAATTTATGTTGTTTATCTTCTTTTGATGAAATATTAATTGTTGACAAGAGAATTCAAAGCTTTTCTATCTCTCACATTACTTTCTCTTGGTGGTTATATCTTATATTAGTGAATAAAATGATAATAACCAATAAACTCAAATTAATTGTTTTGAATCTGGATTCTGATTGGAACCAACCATATGCTAGATATACACAACCAAAAAAAATCTAATCAAAGAGTCATAATGCATATTTATTAGTATTCATTAAAACAAAATAAAGGTTTTTACTTCACATACCTCTAATATATCTTGATTAATTCATTAAGTCGTAACTCATGAAGCAAGATATTCCTTTTTCTGTTTGACTAGGAAATTTTTATCTGGAATATCTGATTTCCATTCATTCAAATAGTCAATAAAATCCACAATAACCTATGAAAAACAAAGTATAACAAAAAGGGTTAGTACCATTATTTTACCATGCCTCTTGACATTTCTGGTTGAGCACTGCTCACCCCATACGCACACCTATCTTTATAACAATATTTCAAGTGCTATAAATTTATAAAATTAATAAAGGCATTTGAAATTTGAAGTAATATTGTAAGTAAAAAGCTTACCTAACGATTTTGTGACAAATTGTTAAACCAAATCGGCTATCTGGTGATACATCTGCTGAGATTTAAGGAATAAATCTTAGATACAATATGATCTATGCTCTGTATTTGCAAATCGCAAATGATAATTTTAGTAATCATTTTAAGTTCAAATGTTCATTTTTTTTTTCTTTTACTTGTTGAATAATGATAATATGCTATGGTCTATGAATATTACTTATTATCTATTGAAAGTATAAATATTTTACATTAAATACATTTCACTGTTAACTAGCAAGATCAACGACCAGTAATCATCCAATTATTAACAAGGTGTATAAAAAAAATGCATACAAGAAAATATAACTGTTCAACTAAAATATMTATCTATTTCTTTGTGTTAAAATAAATTGTATATCTACTAACATAATTAGCATATAATTTGTTATTATAACAGTTGTAGTAAAAAACTCTGTTAGAAATTTAATTTACTTATTTTTAGATTGCTTATTTAAAATATTTTAAAAAACAATTATTGATTAATCTATCGAATTACACTAAAAAAATAATTATTTTTCAAAGTTTTCTAATTTTTACAAATTACGACACAGTATTGTAAAAGCATACTAATTGTTAAAGCTTAAAACTAATGGTAATGTAATCTCGTGTTTAATAAACGTAAATATCTGGAACATTCTGTTTTTCATCATCCTGGTCCTAAAAATATGGCTTCAATAATATAAGTTGCATGACATTGTTTAAAGCACTAATTGTTTGTGTCCATGATCCTCTAAATGTTACCTAATGGATTACCACTTCATACACGTCTTGATATTATGGATTCAACTAAGCCGTTAATGATTTAAGTTGATTTATTGAAGATGATAATGACATTTCATCCAAAAGGTAAGGAACCTAAAATTCAATATTCAATACAAAATATTAATATTAGGTATGTTATATTTTAAGATTATTTTATACTATGATGACATTCTGCAATCATCTATGTGTTTGGATTTTTCTATGTGCATTTTAATATACTTTGGCAAAATTTATTTCCTACATATTTTTCAGAATAGAGCTTAAGTTTTAATTTTCATCGGTATACATTCATAAACCTAGTTATAGGTGTAACATATCCATTTTTATGACGTAACTAGCTTTAAACACTTTGGTTGAATATTGTTCTGTTTGAGGTAAATGTTTAGTGATTTCATATATTTTATCTTCTTTTAAAATGTTCGTTTCAAATTATTATAATTCATTTAAATCAAATATAGGTATAATTAATGATAGGTATATGAACTATTACAAATTTAATATAYCTATTAATTTTAAAATAAAAATATTTTAAACAGGCAATTCAAATTAAAACTTTTTAGTCTTCTTGTTTGCTAAGCTTACTACAAGAATACTACAATTATATTTTTTCTGCTTGCCTTTTTTTCTATTTAAGTATTAATTAAGATTTTGACAGTATTTACATTGAATACATTTATCTTCCACATATAACATACATTTTGAAAACCATTTATTTGTTTTAGTCAGACTAACACCAGGACAAATGTTTAACAAATCAATTTTACTCAATAGGTTTTCAATATCATCAGGTTTTTAATATATTCATCAATTTGAGTTTCTTTCTCTCTTATAAATACCTACATAGTTAATTTATGACCATAAATACACATTGAATGTGATGAATTTACTCTTTTTATTATTAAGTACTTACCTTAGCTATGTTGGGGGTAGTAAACATAATACATTTATCATTAGGAACACCTCGGATATGAGTAAAAAGTGTTTTTTCTAAATAATTGGTATGCGATCCCCACATTTCACCTGGTAGTTTAATATTGTTTGCATCAATATGAACATTATATTTTAAATTTTCAACTTGATTATTTTCAGTTATTTCAGTAGCGATTTGAGGAGTAACAATTGTTTTATTCACAGTCTGTAAAAATACAATAAATATTATTTAAAGGAATGTGGGTTTTGTATTATATAATGTCTTACATTTATGTCACTGGGTTTATTTTTTTTTGACATTGTTTGGACTTATTGATCTTTCTGTTGTAGTTCTTCGTTTTTACTATTTTTGTTGAAACATGAAGGTAATTTAGGGGTGAAAATACAAGGTATAGCATTTTGATTTAAAATAACCTTCTTAAGTTTATATTTAATTTCATTCCCCGCTTTATCCTCAAAAATTCTAAATGAAATAATATCTTCAGAAGCAAAATATAGTTCACATACTCCATCTTTTTTTGTTAACGTTCTATCAGCTCGTGAAATTTKTAAATTCCAAGTATCAATCATTTTCTGAAAAGTAATGAATTATTGATTTTAATATAAATTTTTCATTGGATATACATAAAATATTTATTATTTTATTATTTTTCTTCAATTTTTAGAACCTATAAATAATATTTATTTTTTAAACACCAGTGAGTATAATTATGATGATCATATAATAAAATTCTAAAAAAAGTACATACTAAATAATACATTTTAGGTCATATTTCATAAAAAAATATATATATTAATTATGTTAGGTATGAATAAACTCATGTATAAAACATATACTAATAGGTACGACAATGGTAGATAATAATGATATAAGCATGTGGTATTTTCAAAAACCCTTAAGAGTATAGTTACAATATTATCAGATACAATGTAAATAAAATAAAAGTATGTTTTGTCATTATAAGTAGGATAGACATATATATTGATCTTTAAAAACAAATGATAATAATAATAAACATCTTTCAAATTTTATTGTAGGTACACAGTGGCAGACTGAAAGGCTCAATTTTGATGCTGCCATGTCAACTTGTAAAGGGGCGGAGGCCCTAAGGGTCAGCATTGACCCAACCCCCTATTAGGGTTAGTATTTACATTATAACTTTGATAAAATATAAAATTGCATTTTTTATAATTTAATTTCAGTGATATAGTATATTGTATGAATAAAATCAAACAATATTTAAGCTTCGCATTAAATAAATATAGGTTAATAATATAATTATTAGAATAGGAAACATTTGAACATTATACCTCAGGAGGATGAAATACTGAAGGTCGTTTCATTCCTTGCTGCTGATATATTAAATTTTGTTTGGGTGAACCTGACTTACACCCAGGCACAAAACATTTGAGAGGCATACTAGATAAGTAAAAATCACAAAAATAATAATTATTATTTCAAACCACTTGTATAAAAGAGTATAATGTGTGAGTACATAAATGAATAATATTCAACAAGACTGCAGGTGAGTACAATAATGAAAAACACCAAGAAAATTGAGAAACATTAAAATGCGAATACTGTTATCCACCTTGCACAGTGGGCAGTGGCGTCTAGACAGTTTAGTAGTTTACTATTTTACTAAGTAGTCTATATCCACTATAATATAGCACTTAACAATGATTGAATAATCAACAATTTTTAAAAATTATAAAGGATAATATTTATATTATTGTACCCTTATCTAAATCTGTGTGATAAATAGACTGACTACCACGGTCTTGGTCCGTGGTTCATGATAATAGCATGAGATAAGGACAACATCGTTACCGCAGAATTCTGTCGTGTCGTTATGGTGATTGGTGAGCGCGTGCCACGAACTAATGACGATAAGTGATAACTGATAATTGAAATTTGAAGTATTGAAGCATTTCGAACCATAACTCCGAATTCCTATGACTATTTTCTAAAAATTATACTTTAACTAAATTTATTGTATTTTATTGTTCTATGAACTATTCAATTTGATCGCTGCGAAATCCCAAAGTTCTGGTTACAAAATAAAAAAAGACATTGAATTTCATCCGTCATTGTGGTGTCGAAATCCTTGGTCTTCGATTATCCGTTGTGTGTGAACATGACGTGACCGTCGTAACCGATTACAATTCCGTCAGAAACCGTGAAAATGGGAAAGAAAAGASTCTGCGTGGTGGTCTTGGGTGACATAGGTCGTAGCCCTAGAATGCAGTATCACGCGCAGTCTTTGATCCGCCAAGATTTCGACGTCGACATTGTTGGGTACACGKACAGCCCGGTGCTGGACGACCTGAAGGAGAACGCCACTATTATCGGTGTCCGGAAACCGTTTCCATTCGACGAATGTGAGTAACTACGTTTAGATTTTAATCAATGTCGTTTGGTGTTTGCTCCAAACCAGTGTTAATATTCCAATAACTTCTTTTGTGAAAGATTGATTCAACTTGACCACACTCATCTTTGTTTACCTCCTCATCCTTTGCATGGTCATGGAACATAGTCGCTTCTTTTGTTGTGTCACAATTTATTGGTGACATGACTATATGTTCTGTTTTTATTACACAGATGTTCCTCAAAAAATAGCATTCATGTTTAAAGTTGTATGGCAAACACTGACGTTATTTTGGGCCATATTGATGAAACGTAAATCAGATATTGTTATTGTTCAAAATCCACCTGCGATTCCCACACTCGCTGTTTGCTGGTTTTACTGTCTGATTGTCAATGCAAAATTTATAATCGACTGGCATAATTATGCATACTCAGTACTTGGCCTCACTTTGGGTCCTGATGCACCTCTGGTAAAACTTTCCTTATTGTACGAACGTACTTTTGGCAGACTGGCTGATTTCAATTTATGTGTTACCAAAGCCATGAAAGATGACCTGCATAAAAAATGGAATATTGAGTAAGGTTTTTATCTTTCACAATATTTTTGTTTTTAAATTGTCAAGAAAATGTATGTTGTGTATCTATTTTAGAGCTACGACCTTGTATGATCGTCCGGGACCACAGTTTAAAACAATTACATTATCTGAAAAACATGATTTACTAGAAAAAATGAATTTAAACAATTTCACTGAGTTATCAGAAACTGGAGTGGTACGATTAAAATCCGACCGCCCTAGTCTACTTGTGTCTAGTACTAGCTGGACCCCAGATGAAGATTTTTCAATTCTATTAAAAGCTCTCCAAAGTATACACGCAATTACCTAAATATGTTACTAATTTATTTTTATGAATTAATTGGATCACTATGTTTAAATGTACTTGTTATTCTTAACTTATCTTGTGCTATAGAAGTGGTTTCGGGTAATTGTTTAGGAATATGTTACTATGTGTATGTTTAAATCTAATAATTTTAAGAGATAACTAAATCACCWCAGTATAATCTACATTTACTGTTTCAGAATACGATGAAAGTGATGATATCTACCCAAAACTCATTTGTGTTATCACCGGGCGAGGCCCATTAAAGAGTCACTATCAACATAAAATTTCAAAATTGAAATGGAAAAAAGTTTCAATCAATACACCATGGCTTGAAAATAGTGACTATCCTCTTCTTTTAGGTATAATTACAGGATTATTAAAATAAGATGAATTTTTTTATTGTATAATATATTTACTGAATAATTTTAGCGTGCGCTGATCTTGGTGTGTGCTTACATGCCTCCTCCAGTGGTTTAGACTTGCCTATGAAAGTGATTGATATGTATGGTGTTGGTTTACCTGTCTGTGCATATGATTTTAAGTGGTATTTATTTATTTTAACTAATAATAGTTTAAGAGACAGAAAAATATAATTTTGCTGTAACAATTTTTTAAGTTTTTAAGAAATTTTTATTTGTTTCAGCTTAAATGAATTAGTTCGACACAACGAAAATGGTCTCGTATTCTCGAATGAAAATCAACTTGCATTGCACATTATGACATGGTTTAAAAACTTCCCTTCAGAGATCTGTGAGAAACAAAGTAAATTTTGTAAGGAAATTGATAAATTTCGAGCTGTAGATTGGCATACAAATTGGATGAAAAATGCGTATCCAATTTTTTCGAACCACAATATATAGTTTCCATTTTTTTTAGAGGGGAGGGGGTATATTAAAAAAACCGTACATTTTGATTCCTTTAAATACTTTAAAATTGTAGATATGATTATATGTATAGCTAATTTCATTCATGCATTCATATAAAAAAACCGTACATTTTGATTCCTTTAAATACTTTAAAATTGTAGATATGTTTATATAACTAATTTCATTCATGCATTCATACAATAAATTGGTTTAAAAATAAATATTTTTCTCTCCAAATTAGCATTTCTAAAAACACAATTTTCAATCTGTCAGCAATTCTAGAATAAAATTAAAAAATACAAATTTAAACAATAAATATCACATTTAAATGAATATATTCTTTGTATTCTAAAATAAATATTTTTTTAAAGACAATTTAAAAAAAAAAATACTAAAATTGAATTTATTGTACTAATGTAGGTAATTCTGAGTTTAGATATAATTAAAATTTAATGATTTAGGTAAAATATCTGCTTCGTAATATCTTTATTTTATATACCAAAAATAGTTTATTATATAGTATTATATATCAAGGAGGATAAGTGATGTAATATACACTGATAGATGGTGAATATTTAGAATAAAAATAGTAAAATTATTCAATACAAATTTGTTTTTATTACACTTATCATTTGAGTATACAATTTTTAAATGTATTTATAATTATACCATTAAGATATTCTTAGATTTTGGATGTTTAACTTTTCAATCATGTCTTGTATCAGCTAAATTCTAAGTACATAATGATTATTTATATTTTATATAATAATAAAAATCCCAACTTGGTAATTTAGTTAAAAAATACATTTAAAAGGATGTCATAGCAATATTTGTTTTCTCACAAGTCATTGTTCAACATAGATGAATATTTCTATAAATGAATTCTTGTAAGATAATTTTTTTATACGCATAATTTTAGTTGTCATTGAATAAAATCGCATATTTAATAATTATACAGGGTTTGACATATTTACTTTACATTTTATTATTATTTCAGTTTATATTCAATTTAAAATTGTTATTAAATGAAATGTATATTTAGTTGAATATAATTAATTGTCTTGAAACAATATTTTAAATATTTAAACAAGTAAATTCACTCGAAAATGTTTCTCCACTGCAAAAAAAAAATAATAATTTAAAAATAAATACACTGACATTCTTTATAACTTGTTAACTGGATAGAATACATAAAACCATTGAAATCAATTTAATTTATCGGAATTCATTTAATATTTCGATTAAAATTGTTTCTTATATTTTTACTTCCGGTTGTAAATTTGTTATAATTTTCTATTAAAAATTTATTTATCATATACATACAACAATTTAAATTAAAAGGCTTTGGTTGTTATTACCCTATACAGTATTTTCTAATAAAAAAAACACAAATACATACGTAAGTTTTTTTTAAATCTATTTGTGAACTTTTTTTGAGCATCACCGCATCTATTTATGAACTAACAATCTATAAGTACCTATATATAAATTTATTTCATAATTTTTTACATCTACCCATCTTTTATTCAAATTCTTGAAAAAAACCAACATAATATAAGGATAAAAAAGTAAAAAAAAAAAACAAATTTTTATTTTACTAACATTAATTTGGAAATAACTACTGCAATCAAAAATTAATTTACTGACCACTCTTCAATTATTTTTTAATAATTTTGTAAAAAAAACATTTTTATAATGTAAATTATATTTATCCCATACATTTAAAATAAAAACTTTTTGAATTATAATTTTAGTTAAAAAAATATTTTCAGTTATAAAATTTATACATATATAAACCTCGTATTATATAGTTTAATTGGTAACATCGCCCATGGCCACGGATAACATATAAGCATGCAGCTATTTTTTATTTTTTTGTACAATATTTTACTATGTTTCTTATTATATTGTAACAAAAATTACCTAAAATTAAAATTCTCGAACTGTTGTATTGTATGCAAATGTCTATTAAATGATAGTACAGACAATTTATAAATTAATTTTTTTTGTTAATGATAGTAACCATTCTAATATTATCTTGTCTTGTTTGAAAARGTACTTAATACTGTTAAATGTACTAAAATAATTTATTATTATTGTTATAAAAGTATTTGATGTTGAATAGACAAGAGTTCTTTTTTTTTTGTTATTGATACCTATATGACTGATCCATGATTTGCATAGATGATATGCAAAACCAAAAAAGTTTGATCACCTCTGATCAAAATTATTTGACTATAACAATATAATTATATGTATTATATAATTATACCTAGGTAGTATACCTACTATCTAGGTTATATAAAATTATATATATTTTCCTGTTTACTGTAGTTTTATTTATTTTAATTAAAACAAAAGAAATTTTTATATTTGTATAATGTATTTTCAGTACATGTATAATATATTAATATGCAATCTTCAAAATAAAATTTTCTTATTTTTATAATGCAATATTTCTACTAAGTAATATCCAACATTGTACCTAATAACTTTTTAGTGGTGTTAAGAGTATTTAGAAACAACTACAGTAAAAATTGGTTATAAGTTATAACTAGAATTTGTAGACTATTTGTACCGGTTAGAAGCAGGAAATAAATACAAAAACAAAACTAGACAATTTATGTAAATATACTATTTATTATTATTGCTTATTGAAACTTACTAATATTGTACATACATATTTAAATTAATTATTAGATATAGCTAAATACTTATTATAGTAATTCGCTATAAAGAGCAAGTTGATCGATCTAAATAATGGGATAAATACATTGTAGGAAAAAGATAACAACTGGCTCGTTAAAAACCAATATTTATTTTATAATTCAATGTATTTTACTTGTTATAGCCAATAACTTGTCATAACCATTCTCGTTGTAAACATATATAAATATAAATTTATAACATAAGATTATATAAGGCTGTGCCGGGAATWAACATTTTGCTTGTTGTGAGCAGTATCTCGCTCTTAGCGATGCTCGTTATAGTGATTTCTATTGTATTTGTAATAAATTAAGGTGATCTAATAAATAATAATATTGATAATCAAAACATTCAAAACTCTAAAGGCAATCTCCTTCTGTAATAAAAAAAATCATAATATACCTAATTCAAGAGAAAAGTATGCATGGGTAAAGCTAAATGTAAATCTAAGTAGTAAAATCTAATAGGTATATAATTCATGGAATTCTAAGCTGTCTTGATGAAATGTTCATATTTTATTACCTACTATATTTAATAGTTCAATACTAATCAATAACCATACAACCCATAAAAAATGTCTTTGTTTTACAACATTGCATAGGTAGGTACACTTTAAACATTACTCAAACTTTATTTGTCATTTATTGGTTATTGTAACTTAGTACTAACAAGCTAATATCGACTAAGCATATTTATGAGTTCATAAAATTAAAAATAATAAAGGTTTCAAGTTAAGGAGGTATGTTACATTATCTTGTTTGTAATACATTATAATTTACGAGTATATTGCGCAGAAAGTTTTGCCTGCCTAATGAATAATACAATAACCTAATAACTAGGTACTATACTATACCTATTATTAATAAATACTACTATAGTACTATATGTATACAATGTACCTACATAAATTCATCGCTACGTATCGTGTCAGACTATTTTATTTATTTATATATATATACTATCCTACTTTATTTACTGAATTTACCCATTTTAAGCTTTAATTTGAGTTTTATCTATATACGTATCCGAAAAGAGTCGTCCTGTTTTATAGGTAAAAGACAGTCGTGAGTAGTATTCGGAATACTATTTAGGCATTCAGAATACCTTCGAAAATATTCCGAGTACTTTAATAGTATAATAAATTAATAACGATATATTTTTTTTAGGATTTTAGTATTTTAGCATCTACATTTGCAAAATGTCAAGCTATTTGGAACAATTAAACAGAACCGTTCTAGTCAAATGGCCGACATAGTTAAAACCAATTTGGATGTATACTTAAAAACTCCTAATGATATCCGTTAGAATCTCTGGTTTGATGCCATGAAATTTCTTATTTTTCATTTTAAAATGAGCTCTTCTAAATTTTATAAGATATGTGATGCTGTTACAGTTAACCATTATTACAAGGGGAAAAACATATTATCTATTTTGGTTAGTTATTGCCATCTATCACATCACCCAAACAAAAATATGATGATATTCTATCTGAAAAAAATTACCGAATATTTTGCGATTTCCTGGTTATTTTGTTTAAATAAATACTTTTTACATTCCTTATTTAGTATCTACTGTTTTCAACTGTGCCTGTCCTGGCAAAAGATTTTGTGCTTTAATAATATTATCAATATTATTCATAGAAGATAATTATTAATAAATATTATAAAAAATTATTATTATATAATATTGTAAATCATAAATAGTCATAGTTAGGTATATTATAATTTTAATTTACAAACAATATATTATATATTTAAACATTGGCTATAGTTTCCCAAAAGCAATTATTATTTTATTAATATACATATATAACAAGTAACAAAAGTATTTGGAATATTTTTATAGTATTCTAAATATTTTATTCTGAATACTATTTTTATGATGTATTCGAATACATATTCGGAATACTATTTTTTATGAATATTCGAGTTTATTTATTCCAAATACTTTTAAAAAGTATTTTACCCAAGACTGGTAAACCCATCTACGATCTACACACTTATCATGTTTCGAGAAAAAATTATTATAAATCGTTACTATCATACCTTTAATTTTAAGTTATTTCAATACTTTTATTAATTGGGTATCATATAGTATTTCAACACGTTAATAAGTAGATGAGTTTAAAAAAAATTTATTTGAGAGGATTTATTAATAATTTTATATTTCAGTATTTGAAAAATATTTTAACTCAGCTACGGGATGCGGACTGTAATGAATTCAAAAAATGTCAAATTCTAAAAATAATTTGTCAGATTAGAAGTACATAATAATAATTAATAGGCATTAAACATTTTCATGTGGCGTTGATCGTCAATAGTGCATTTGATCAATCATTTTTCTTACGCACCACATCCACATGGCATTGTTTTATCCGTCTTACAAACGTAGAACATCGAAAATTTTACGCTCACGATAATACGTTTTATTAATTTACCTATTATAAAATTTAAGGCATCTCAGAGGATATCATTCATATTTTTATTTTAAAGTAAGTYATGACCATTTTTAAATTGAACATTTTTCGTATAATATTTTAAAATAGTTATAAAATTATTATAATATATAGTAARTTGTCCGACTTAAAAATAATAATATCGATAAAATCCTCCATGATGTCCTATATAATATTTTTGATTTTAAATTTATATGAATTCAATATATTTTTTTAAATTATAGAATAAAATGTATTATTGTGAACGTAAAATTTGCCATGTTGTATGTTTATAAAACAGAGAAAACAAATACCAGTGTGGTGTCTTTTTCAAAGTAACGTAGGTATGTAAAAATCGTAATCGACTTACAGTCATTGTGAGTGGTTAAAATAAAAATTAATATTAACTTCATAATAATTTCTTTTCCATTCAGTTTCAAATAATTGCATACGGCAACAGCGTCGATCAATGGTTCAAGAGGTCGTGATGGATTAGGGGCAGCAGCACAGTCACGTCTGGGATGAACGTTGTTAAGGGAGAAGAAGGGCAGGAATTGTGTGCTAAAATTTAAGCTAAAGAAACCGCTAAAACGGTTAATATAAGATCATAATTTAATTTGATTTTCTAACGAAACAAAAACAAAAAATTATTGTCGTAGTGACCATAATTTTATATGCGCGTGTAAACGTGTGGCGCGGGTTAGGTAAATGGAGCATTGGCCCACGACCTAAGCGGCCAATTGCATCTCCGTGGCGCATTCGATGGCGGCCGGATCCGTGGCACGTYCGTTATTGATGGCCGCAGGATCCGTGGTCATCGGATGTGGCGGCACGTCGTTCTGGACCGGATAGAATACTTTGGTGCCGAACCGAAGCGCCGCGCCGACCGGAAATTTAGCGTTCAGCCATATGGATAACATCGTGTTGTAGTTCAATAGTGGCCGGAACACGATGGCCAGCCACGCGTGGGTCAGCAACACGCCGTGCATATATACCAGCACGTGGTACATCCACCGGCTGTACCGGGCGTCCAGCGGCCGGCGTACCGGTACGCCGCACAGCTCGTGCGTGAACGCCATGAATGCGTCCGCGTCCAGAATGGGCGAGACCGACTTCATGCCGTCCAGCATCGCGTTCGCCATGTGATTGAACTTCGGCGGAGGGCTCAGCAGCCCCGGCACGTACACGTCCCGCAGGATCAAGGCGCACGTGCCACGCACCTCCTCCAAAGAGCCACTGCACAGGTTGTACCTGCGTCCATAATGATTCCATTATAGTCATGTAATATATAGCCAATAGGTATATATTTATTAATTATTTGTTTACTTTTAAGTTACCTATTTATAATATGTACAAGACGAGCCCAAGCGTATTAAAATACAATGATATTATTATATTAAAGACTTAATTATTTTATAACATTTACACTTCTAATAATCAGGGCTAGAATTTGTATGCAACAGCATGTTTTTTTTTACTATACATCCAAATAGAATTTCAGTGAGTAATGCCCACACGATTTATATTATTCTCTGATGAAAATGGTACTATTTTTTATTTTGCATGTTTTTACATAATATATTGAACTTAATGCATATTTTTGCATATTTAGTATAATCGTATTTATTGTATTTGAGCCWGTAATAATTAAACATRATCAAAGCACCTATAACTTGGTTTTTTTCCAAACGTAAATTTTATTTTTATAAATACAATCTTATGAACAATATGCCATAAAAGATTGAATAGTTTGACGGAGTTAACACAATTATTATTAATATTTTATTTTATTTCTAAAATAATAATGATTAATAATAAATATGCATGCAAAAAATAAATRKTTAATTTTTAATTTTTAGTAACGATTATAATTTATATTATATTAAGACAATCAGCCAATCACTGATATTGATGTATTTCAATAAATTCATAATATTTTTTGTAACTATATTTTTGTGTGTATCTTATAAAAATAAAAATGCCTATTTTTGCATATTTTACAATTTGTATTGGTTACAAATTACAAATCCTWGCCCTGCTAATGACTAAACCAATATAACCTAATTAGCTGCAATGTTGAGACGGGGTTTAGTTAATAATGTAAATTTTAACAGAGTACTTTTCTATGACACACTTACCAGTTACCAATGGTCAGTACCTACTCAGTATATGTACAATGTACGAGTATACCTATTAGTATAATTATATGTATATTATTATATTATCCAAATCTATATAACGGATAACATTAAAAGGATATCTCCTTATAATATAGCAGCACCCCGATATAGATCGTTTATYGAAAAATTAGATTTGTATCATTTTAGAGAGGTGTTATGTTCTTCGAAGCACATTTCACTACCTCTCAGAAAATATAATTTTCAATAATATTAGGTTAGCTAGTATAACCCCACCCCCCACCCCTAAATACGCCACTGAATACTATAAACTTTTAAGATTTTACTATATAGCAGAAATTCAATGCTAACAAATTAAAAATGTTTCGCATTGATCAACAAATGTACCTAATACCAATGTACATTCGTAATAAGTGTATGAAGGTTATATTATATAATACATTAGTACTTTATAGTCATATAGAATAAATGTTATTCATTAGTGGCTAGTGTAACGATGAAAAGCGCATTATGTGATGAATTCAAATTAATTAAAATATGTGATGTAGGCACCAAATTACAAATTTCGATTTCGATTAATTCACAGTTTTTCAATAATTACATTTCTCTATAAATATGTTTTAAAATATTTTTAATCGCCCTTATGTAAACAATAAAAAATAGAGGCGGAAATTATTTGTAAATTTCAAGACCAATGAAAAACAAAAAAAAAATAGAGACATCACGATTTTGATTCAATATATAGACACGCGCGTGTAGTATAATATTTGAATAACCACGAACTCAATTAAATTTAATTGTAATTTTATTACTCACTTGTCTTGAATTCCCAACATGTAACCAATAGTCCTCCAAAAATGAATAATGGCTCTTTCGTCTTCTTCAGTGCCAACAATAGCCAATTCTTTTTTTTTCAACAATGTTAAACCCACAAGTCCAAATTGAGTTAATGCCATATCTTTTTGAGATACTCGCGGTCCAGGTCCAGACTTATTCRATACTCGATTCGCAGCACAATGAAATCCATGTACAATGCCCAAAGACATTTGAGATCTGAATCAAATATTAGTAAATTATTATTACTATAAAATATACGCGCTTAGCCTTTTAAACAATTAGATAAACACTTAACATTCGGCTTTTATAATATAAGTTAGACTAGATAATATTATTATTTGTCATTGTATAATGAGTTATCGTTTAAAGTAATTTTATTTGCTATTATACCATATACATCGTACATGACTAGGTATAGCCGGTATAGATCAAAAGTACATAAAGTATACTATTGTAACAGTTTAGCTATTAGTTAAATTTACTTTAGTTCTTGCATTATGATTCATGTCTCATGCTTAATTTTTATAACATTACAAATTATATTCGTACACAAATACATTAGGCAGGTATGTACATCATACTTGTTAAATATTTTTTAAAAAAACGTATTCATATATTTTAGTCTTTTAGGCTTATAAATATAAAACAAAAAGTTTTGTACACAATATTTTTGGTTTATATTTTYAACTGCAGTTTTTTGAAAAGTTATAATATTTTTCTTCCAGAAACTGCGGTTAGATTAGGTATAATGACATTACATTATAATCTATTCATGATAATTATAATATATGTTAAAAAGGGAGAAAAACCTTCGTCACATTATTTGTGTGTAAATGCTGTGTAAAAATTTTGGAATTTTTATGAAATTTGTTAAAATTTGAACTATTTAAAATTTAAATGCTTATAAAAAATCCTACCTAGTTTTTATCTTATCATTGATGTATATAAACATCTAATACAACAACTGATGAGGAATCTTATCGTATACATATGTTTTCAAGATTTTTGAGTTTTGATTCAGATAAAATATTTATAACAACAATTATTAGAAAAAAATATTGAACATTTCAAATGTTTATAAATAGCTCAACAATTTAAAAATACTTTAAACATTTTATCTCGTATGGAAAATGGTCATATAAACACTTAATAAAAATTTAAAGWATCTACGATCATTGGTATTTAAATTGGGAATAACAGAGAAAAAATCGATTTTGTCAAACAAAAATGGTTTTGCGCATAAATTCATTTTTTATTATTTTTTTTACCTGACGCTTTTTAAAACCACTTGGAATTTTTCATTTTAATCTCTCAAAAACATTAACATTACTAGATACAATATTTTCTGCCAAAAACCACTTATAATTTATTAAGGTCGAAAATCGAAGCATTAATTTTAGTGTAAACTGATATTAACATTTTCTTTTTTAAATAACTCACGTCATCATTGTAAAATACTAAAATCAATTATTGCTTCGTTCAGAATCTTTTAGTTTTAGAGGTGTTAGACTCGGGTAAAGTATACCTACTGATAAGTAAACTATTTGAACAATGACATGGGTAGAATGAAAAAAGAATCTGTCAGGCCAACAGACTTAAAAAATACATTTTAAATATTTGAAAATATATTAAATAGTCTTTGAATTGTTTTATAAAATAAAAAATTAAAATACRTGTATTTTTATTTGTGTTTGTATTCAGATACCATTAGCTATTGGAAAATATATTTAATTAAATAATTTAATTTTTTTCTACTTTTTCATTAAATAACTATTTGAATAAAATTTAAATGTATTCACTTACTTTGATTTAATATGTTTAACGTCATATTTATACCAACTCAGTATGTGCCTTAAAGTTGATGTATATCTTCTAAAAGCGGTATAAGAATTAGAAGATTTATTTGTTGACACTAATACATCCAATATTGTTAGGACTGTAAGTACCAATACTAATCCCATTAATTGTGAAATAATCATTGCATAGAAATTGAAATAAAAATATTTTTGTCCTCTGAAAATATAAATATATAAAAAACAATTCCAATTGTTTCGCATATTTTTCCTAATATTAAATGTAATACGACAGTATAGATAGTATAATTGATAAATTTGCAGAGTTAAATATATAAATGTCATGTTGTGACGATTATGTACGATACTACTATAGAGTATATTCAGGTATATATAATACATATACTGCATAGTGTATATTGAGGAATATAATATTATAATAGTTAAGTACATCGCTATTTTAAGCTTTAAGTCATAATATAGGTAGGTAGGTATCTATCATCTATGAAATAAACTTTAATTTATTTATTTTAAATCTATTTAGAACAGAATACAGACACTTTATGTTACTTTACTGTTATGACTTATGAATATTATATATATTATAATCTTATTTATAATTTGTTAACTTATAAAACAAGTTAATAATTAAATTTTGTATGAAAATTAAATATTTCAATTTGTATGTAGTATTTCCTGTTAATTGTCTATAGTAATTAATGTAATATATAATACAATATCAAACAAATAATAAAACCCATATCAGGTACTTATTACAGTACGTCTTATTATTATTATAGTACTTACCTGTAGTATAGGTATATAATGTTTTTAAAAAATCAAAACAAATATTTAACAAGAAATTAACGATCTWGGTTAGCCGTTTTCAGCCTTTGCGTGTTGGCGACCAAAGATATTAACCCAATTTTTCTTGTGACCTTTTTGAAARTAATGTTCAATAAAGTGCTACCTACCACCCCCGCTATATTAATTTTTTGAATAATCATAATTCATAATATTCATAGGTAAAAGAAACYATAATCTTTATTTATTTTTCACTCATATWATTTATAGCATAACAAGTTACCGAACCAAAAGTGAACTAATAAATAAATATAATTTACTGGACAAAAAATCATGTTAAAATAGTTGTGACAATTTTATTTTTTTAATCTGTTACTGTTCACTCACATTAAAATAATGTACAAACAAAAAACATAAATAGAAATTCGAAATTATATTTAAACCCGATTAAATAGTGTAATTATATCAGGGTATACTGGCTAGGGGTTTTGGGAATTATTTATAATTTGTGAACCTCCAAAAATGTTTTTCTAGTTGCGCCTATGGGAGGACGTCTTGTGGGTATAGCGTCTTTCTAATTTTTAATTTTTAACTTTTACACCTATCAATAACTTATACCGTTTCAACGTTTTACGTGTTGTAACGTTTCACTAACTTAATACAACTATTTAACCTATAATAATTAATTCTACATCATTCAATTACAATAAAATGCAGTGTTTGGATTGTTTGGAATACTTTTTGAGTATTCGGGACTCGGGGTAACTTTAAAATACAGTTGTTTCCAAAGTATTTAATTCTGTACCTATTTGGAATAMTWWATYTGAAATACTTTTATAATATTAGGTACTTAACTATTAAAATTAAATTTTTTTTATATATTTTATTGTCGGGTTGTGAATTATAGTATAATATTCAAATGTAATATACTTTAAATCTTTAACATTATAGACTATTAACCATATTATTTCAAATATTCCAGAGTACAATTTTTTTAAATATCAAAGAGAATATTTGAAATATMATTATAGTATCTTTTTTAAAATACTTTCGGAATACTATTTTAATTTTTCAGAAATATTTGTTTATTTATTACAAATCCTTTTTAAAAATAGGATTTTACCCAAGTCGAAATTAACCCATTTAAATTATACAAAATACGCGTAATGTTCAATGGATAACGGTTAAGTGTAATATGCTTATTATTATTATATTATTTTGGCTATGAACACTGAACAGATTTCGATTAAGTGTTTTTATAATGTTGTACAACAAACTTACAAGTATTTTAAATAAATACTGACGTAGTATTTTTTTCTTGACATTTTCATTTCATGTAAATGTTAAATAATAGTAATGACTCGCGACAACCTAAATTAAAAATTGTGAAACATTTCAGTATTTTAATGCATTTTTTTTTTTAATAAGTTTAATTTTTGCGTATGGCATTGTTAAAAACCACTTTCGTAATTTATACCTAACCTTTAGTATTATATATTTAAAAGAGTATTTAGCATTTTTATATTAACAATTAATCATACAAATTTTTTTAAATGATTCAATGTTTTACTGTTATTTAAAATAAATTGCTTGAGAATGAAAAAAAAATTAATTTTTGTAGAAAATATATTAAATATGCGAAAATCAACGAAAATCGACAAAATATGCACTTTTTTTCTAAAATTATCGAAATATGAATTAAAATATGMATTTTTAATTTTCTATTTTTAACTCAACATTATATAGTTCGGATTTCTAGCTTGGTCTGCTATATTCAACACTTCAACAGCATACAGAACAATATGTAACTCCTATAACTTCCGAACCCTAGTTATAACGTTTAGATTAAGATAACAATAATTAAGTACTGACCAGTGACCGTCAATTATTATAACAGTGAAATAAATATYATACTTATAATTGGTCACAATAATAGTACTATCATCGACGATAAGCAATTTCCTGGGAAAAAAATCAAGTTTTGCTATAAATAGTCGAAAACAAGATCTAATATAGTAGGTACTACAACTACTACGTCAACCACAATATTCAAACTCAATGCATTAACAGCAATGATTATAGGTACCCAGAATTACTCGTGAATTAAAAAATTCATAATCTATAAACAACTATCATTGATATTATTTTCTATTAAAAAAAATCGTGTCAACGTCTCTCGTTTTTGTTTTTATTTATTTCACCATCATATTAATATATAGTAACATTTTTCATATTTCGAGCACTAATTATTGTAAAGTAACCCGTCTGTATCTATCTAATGAGACGGTTTTACCTGACAAAYAATTCCTCGTCGAACCATTCCGGAATGGGTTTGGGCCGACTGTAGTCGACTGGCACGTTGCACCCGTCTTCAATAATCATCTYGAACTTCTCCTTCGCGGCGCCTTCATCAGTTTTCTTCGACTCCGACACTGTGCCGATCGATAAAGTAACACAACAATATTGTCATAGTTTACTTAGTATAATAAGAAAAATATTTAAATACTACGTGTAATATCTGAGTTTTGTCGAGCCTTACTTGTAAATTATTTCAGTGGTACGGCGATCGTATCAGCCATACACAAAAATCGTTGTGGCGGCTGCCTGGTCGCCGTCGTCGTTTAGTTCGTTGCTGCCGGTTGGTCGCTACGGATCGCGCTCTGGTCGTCAAAAGTTTTTTTTTAGTTAAAATAATATTGCAGAATTAATGCAGATAAAATCCTATTTAACCGAATATCCGTCGACTACACGGGCTACGTGGCAAAGGGCGAACGAATGACAGCGCTAAGTTCACGTCGGTGTTCGATCACCATGTCAGACCGCACAATCCAACCAATCTTACCACTTCTCCACAGTAAACCACAGAAATTTTAACGTCCTATTTTTCGGCATCTCACTCATACAGTGGCGTATTTTCGGGGAGGTTAGGTTTCACAGAAGAAAAATAAAGGTTCAAAAGTCTTGACTTCAAATRACTTACTACGATGGTACAGATAAGAAGAACATTGTTATTTATAATAATAATAATGGAGCACAGTAATTATTAATTCATAATTCGTATATATTTTTTCAAATATTATAACTATTAATTATTTTTTAGACCCTCCCCTAACAAAAATTTGAAAATACGCCATTTGACCTCATACAATGGTTAGCATATTGATAGCAATCTACGTCTTTACAATAAACGTTTAATATTAACTCAAAATTAAAATCGGTATGAATAACCGGCCAAGTTATCGACTAGCTATGTAAGTGATCACAAAAATCGGCGTCGTGGAAAATTTTAACGAGAAAACAATAATGTAAATATTTGTACAGTAAAAACCTTTACCAAGTCGGAAAAATACTTCGTCGAGTTTTCTTTTCAATTTTTTTGACACTGTTGGACATCTTTCAAAGTTTGTTGCACGTTATTTTCATTAATAGAAAAATTGTTAATAATTGAGCGTCCTGTTCACGCTAGCAACGCAAATTTTTATTGATAAATGTTTTTTTGCTAAACATGATCTTCTTAGTTTATTAAGAACTGACAATTTTCAAAATTTGTTGAATTCCATCCTCGCCGAGCATCCAATTTATAACTTTAGCGCTGCGAAGTTTATTCCAGCAGTGCAAATATTTGTTGAAACGTGATTTTTATACTAACCATGATCTTCTCAATTTCTTGGACAAGYTGAACGACTTTCAAAGTTTGTCGGACATTATTATCATCGGTAGAAAAATTATAGCKCCAAGCTCTCGCTAGTAACGTAACTCTTTATCAACACATGTTTTTTATGCTGATCATGTTCTTCAAGATTTGTTGAACCACTTTTTTCTGGAGGCTGTTATCACTGGAAGTTAAATTATAAAATGTAACTTTTTATTCGGAATTTTT